CTAAAAAAAAAGGAGAATAAATTATATAATAGTGATATAGGAACATGCTAAACTATATTTAGATAACGATAAAATCGAATTTGAATGGATATTAGCATCTAATAGCCCAGCAGCAAATCATGGAATTTATTTCTTATCGAATTTCACGAATATGAATCTTAATATAAATGGCCACTGGCCTATAGCTAACAAAATATAGATTCTATAGATATTGAATCAAATAAATTTACCCAAGTAAGAAGATTATTAACCTCAATATCTATGCCATAATTCAATTCATAACGATAAAGTGTGACATCGTCCGACGCGGAGTCGCACCACCCCAAGCTGCGGGCGTGTCCACTAATTCCACTGGCACTTTCTCGGCTGATGCTTCCTGTGATGGAGCTACAGAAAAAGTTACAAAAAGTGAATACAAGATTCAAATTGATTCCATATTCGCATTCAACAAAGTGCTACTCTTGCCTTCCAACTATCGCAAATCATCCAAAGTCAAATCGTATCAGCACAACCCTTTGAGAAGTGAGAATCTGCTTCGGTGATCCAAGCAGCACCTCGAGTTGGCTTGACTCAACCCGATCAGCCAAACTCCCTATCATGATGCAACTTGATCGCGGTGTAATGTGTTAAAATGTTGCAACCTCTTTATTGCGCGTAAGCTGTTCATTCATCTTAATTCATCTTAGTTCAACTTAATTCATTAGTTCTATCATTGCGTCCGGTTACTGAACCTGAATGGTTCAGTGTCCGCCGTTGGTTTTTTGCCGTGCGCAGGCTTTTCAAAGCTTGAGCAAGATGAGACAACGGACCAGCCAAGATATGCTAAACACTCTCGGCTCACAATGATCACACAACACAACGGGTGAAACGGTGACTCTGCAAAGTGCCTTGACTCCTTGAGGGCTTCAGTTTCGCCATGGCTGACTCTGCTGGGCGACTTATTGCTGGGGGCAGTCCCCCATTTCGGCGTTCAGTTTCGTCTCCATTGCATCCATCCCAGCCTGCATTTCTTTGAGTTCAGCTTCTATTGCATCAATCTTTCCACCAGCCTCCTCGTCAGTCATACCCTTGTCCATTTTGGCATCCAGTATGACCGCCAAACCCAAGGCTTCCATGAACTGTCGGTTCTTTTTGTGCCCGGGAAGCAAGGCTTCGATCAAGTCGGCCTCTTGGATTTTCCCCGTGCCATTGCTCAGCAACTCGAAGGCGCTTTGGTGATGTTGGTCGATGTTCTTCAACTGCTGACCTTTCAACCTGGAATATTTGCGTTTGAATTCTTCCCATAGCCTCGCTTGGCCAGTTAGGACCCTGAAATGTTGAAGTTTGTTAACTTTTATTTTCCCACTAAATTCATCTCAAAAAATTTAGCCGGTCACCTAAACCCCAAACCCTAAACCCCTAAACCCTAAACCCCTAAACCCCTAAACCCTAAACCCCTAAACCCTAAACCCCTAAACCTCTAAACCCGGCGCCAGGCCAAGTAGCTTCTTGGGTTTGGGGATCCCATCCTCACCCCACTCCAGGGTAGGGCTGGCACCCGCGCCCATGAGTGAAATGCAGTCCATGTATGGATCACAGAGTGCAGCAAAGTTGGCAAAGAAGATGATGCTCTCGTCATAGCTCAGCGTACCGCTGTCATCTTTATCATGGTAGGCGAAAGTCAACTTGATCAAAGGGGTCAGCTGCGCATCAATTCGGCCCTGTGCCTTCTGGGCACATGCCGAAAAAACTTCCATCACCTTTCCTGGTGGTTGAAAAACCGAAAAATATGCCACTCAAAACGGTGTTCTCTTCCCCAAAGGTGAAAATAAAAAATATCACTTAAACCATCACCTAGTTTCCGATGTTTTTCAATCGCTCTTTGGGATCATGGAGTGATCCTTCAATCAAATCTCTCACCTCTTCCAAACCTTCCAAGTCTGAGTCCATATTCCGGATGTTGAAAAAGAAGACGTCATGCGAGGCTTGGAAGTATTTCTCCAAGTATGGAGCTCTGCAAATCCAATGGACCAACTCCTCATAGTCAATCTTTCCTAGGTGGATCCAACCCCCGAAAAATATGCCAGTCAAAATGGTAAGGACAATTCCCCAATTTCCCAATTTTCAAGGGTGAAAAGTCAAAAAATATCACTCCCAACCACCTAGTTTCCATCTTGGTCGATGTCAGCGTTCGCCAACATTTCCTCAACTTCCCCGGAAGATGCTGAACATAGCTCAGACAGAACACGTGTCATCTCTTCCTTTGAAATGTAGCCGTTCCCATCTGTGTCCCAGGCCTGAAATGTCTTCAAGACCTTTGTCTCCTTGTCTTCCCAACCTGTAGAACCAGTGATGGCAGCTTTGCACATGTTCTTCTTCTGAACGTCAAACTTGGCCATTCCACAAGGGCTGATGAGCGGCTGATGTTTCAGTGAGATTGAAACTCTAAAAACGCTTGAGCCAGGTAGATAGATGATTCATGGTGATTCCAACTGTAGAGAGAAGAGAGTGAGGGACTGATTAGGTTCTAGTGCAATATCACAATGTAGTACATGTAATTAGATTAGATGGATATTCATTTATAATTCATACCGGCACCCTCAAAGGGGTGGATAATGGGCACCCAATAAGACATAAATGGTAGTGATTAGGCACCCCAACTTGAGGGTCCAGGTAGATATTTATAGCTTCATAAATCATTTAGATCCTCTTTGCAATGCATCTTCTGCTCCTGTCCTCGGCTGTCGGCTCTGTCGGCTCTGTCGGCTCGGGCTTTGCTGGCATTGAATTCGGTGAATGCGATGAATTTTTCCAGGAGATCTTCCAGGATGAGTCAATTTTCACATAGTCCATAGTTGTTCTTTTGGACAGTGTTGGCAGGGGCTTCCTAAGCAGTGATATCCCATCGGTTCCACAACGCGATCTTGAAACCGTTGCAGTTGTCAATTCGAGCAGTCGGAAAACTGGCTGCTCGCTTGCCGAGCGGCGCCAGCAAGATGCGGGTGCCAAGGCCGGAAGTCGCCCGAACTTGAGCGAATCGTGGCTTCTGCCAGTGCACGAAGCCCAAAAGCCACGTCTCCTGGAGGTCCAGCAAGCTCTGCCGTGAACTCAGTGCATCGACAGGACAGGCAAGCCTTGAGGCTGGTCTTGAAGGACCGAAGGCACTCTTGCAGAAGAGATATTGAAGTATTGAAGGCTGAGGCTGTCTCATGTCCA